CAAACGAGTTACATGCTGTGCTGGCTGCGTATGTCTACAAGGGAAACAGCACAGGTGTCCGAAGTTATGATCTCTCGTTACATGGAATCAAAGGAACGGACATTGGAACCTGGCGATTGTTAAACTGTATAAAGAAACGCTACAAATATTAGTTTAGATAGTATGCCAACTCCTGCTAGAGCTGATATTCATAGTACGATGGAAATATAATTCTCATATGGTCCTGTAAAAGAGCATCATCGACCACGTGAGTTGCGCACGAGCTTCAATGAAGTAGCATACACAAACAGCAAATAATAAAAGACAACATTACCTCCGTCAACAAATTTATTCGTAAAAAATAGCCGAAGGCTTTTTAAAATTTAAATTTAAGCAAATTTTGCACGATAAAGTCATTAATGTATATTAAAAAAATTAGAATTGTCGCTAAATGTACATTTGTACATATTTGATCAATATTTCAGTGCGTTTTCATCGACAAAATGGGTGAATGTACATTTTAGTGACTTTTCCACATTTTTATTGTACATTTAGCGACTTTGTTCAGCACTCATCTTCTATACATTTACCAATCGCAATCATCAGAGACATAGTCCGTGTCTCTCTTGTTGCATGTTCGATCGTACAGTCAATGCTTTATGCTTTTTAACAAATTCATCAATAAACCAGGACTCGATACTTTCTTTTTCGTGCTTCAATGTTGCTTGTGTGTATTTTGTGAAATTTGTAGTCTCAAATTGTTGCATGAGTGCATTTTGACGTCAGACGATGTAGAAGACACTCTTATCGGTTAACACCTTCAGGAATACTATAACCCGTGGATAAGGCACCATACTCCTGAATTCATGCTAAATATGGCGACAGAAGGGTTCGGAATACTTGGTTGTGATGATACATCGTAAAATCCGTTAGCATAGCGGGTTGGAGCCTGTGAATTTACTAGTCCGATATAGTAAACTAGATGAAGAACTGAACCAACCAACCTCGTACTGGGTTTGTTGGTTCAATCGTTCACCTAATTCAGGCCACAGTGACTCTACATCAGGAAACCCAGTGATATGCAATGTGTGTACAATCCAATCGGGTAGGTAGTTAACAAAAGAGACAAATTCTCCGACCTAGGATCAGACACAGGCTGCCAGAAGAACATTTTGTTTACCTGATTGATCTCTAATACCCGTGGCCTATCCTTGGCTGATACAGCATCGCTATTTCTTTTGAACTGAAAACTTATCTCATAACCAGAGAGTACTGTCATCAGCCACATTAAGCCTTCTCTCGTACGTCGTCTGTAATCACTATGGCAGAAGCGAGCACATAAGTTAAAAACCCCTTGCCTCCTACATTTCTCGTGAAAACTTTGCGCCTCGAAGTATGTATATACTGGTTATTGCTTACAGAACTCTTCCCATGTATACATGAGCTTTTCCTTTTCACTCAAAAGATGTAGCATGTTCTCAACTCAGGTTTTCCCTACCAAACACCAAGTAGGCAATATCATACTCGAGTATATACTTTATATAACATATACCCTTTAATTGAACAAGCTATTGTTCAGCTTATTTTTCAAATATTGCGCTGCGCAGCGGCAAGGCTGTAGGGTCCTGCACAAACTCGACATAGAGCATCCAAGTCAAATTCTTCTCCTCACAAGCTCGTACTCTTCAGCTCGGTTTGCATTGCGGCTTGTATTCCCTAGCTTGCCGTCTATACGATGACCATCGGATGCACAAAAAGAGGGATGAGTTGATAGTCTCCCTTCAAGGATTAGCATACTGCATCCTTCTATATGTAAAAGGAATTGATCACAGTTGCTGTATCGATAAATGTGTGCGTATTAGAAAGGGCATATCTATACCGACACTGCCTACAGTGTCATTGCAATTCATGGGAGTCATGTATGGCCATATAAAAGCCATAAGATCCTTAAATCCCATCGTGATACGAATCGATATCACTTAATACTCACAACTGAAAAAATCCAATTACCAACGATACGAGAGAGAAATATGACTTATTTCCGGCGTTTGATAGGATACTATACTTAAATAGCACATTGAAAAAGTCTTTACGAGACGACGACAGCGGTGCCTCTAACTTTTCCAACTTTTTTACCAGACGATATAACAATATAAGCGAGGTTCATATCGTAATAGATTGCGATGGAGCGCATTAGAGGCCATCAACACACGCTCAAAGTTACTTAGACGACCCTGAATATTAGTATAGCGATCAACAGTATTGCTAGCTAGTAAGAAGTGTCACATGTAGTACGACATGCTGTGTCGATGCGCTGCTTGACGAATGAGCGATGCAAGCTCGTCAGACTTATGAATATGTTACACATATATATCATTATTTATTGCATCTCTTTAAATAAAGTTGTATTCAATCTAAACAGCTCGCATACAAAATGAGACAGCGCACTATTAAGAAATCTCTTCGTGCGCCGTATGCAATCGCAGTGCATCAAAATTGACGCCGAGTGCTTTTGGTTTGCTTCCTCAGTGGTTCGTTGGCTGTACTCGTTGATTCTAGCTTTGCATTTATATTGTCTGCGGCGGTTGTCGACAGTTGATCGGCCATATCGTATCATGTTCGTTAGTTGTAGTATTCTGTTGTCGAAAGTATCCATCGAAGTCAGCGTGCTCGCTAAAATAGGAGTCATGTTGATCAATTGTATTCTGTTCTTGACGGCTTCTGTCATTATAGTCATTTAGATAGTCTGAATATTTTATTCGGAGACCATAGGCATAATGTGTTTACTGGCTGAACGCTGAATAGCCGGTGAGATGTGCTACAGGGTTCTATTCATGATGTTCACCATTGAATGAAAGTGTGTTGTACTTTTGTTGTGCACTATACTCTGGTAAGTTATTCAGATTACAGTCTTGGCTGTATGTATCATCACCCCGTTGCATTGATATATTGGTACTATATGTATCTGTATTGTTGTAGGCGCTGTGATCACGCACCGGGAAGGGACCAACAAAGTTGTGTGTCTGTACACGATTGAACGTACAGTAGCGGGCGTCTGTGGTGAATATTTTTTGCGAAGGAATTTGCGAAGGAGTTTGTGGACCTGTAGCTCGTGCGGGTGTTTGTGAAGGTGTCTCGGCAGACGTTGGGCTTTGTGCTGCTGTCTCGACTTTGGTCTCTTCTGATATCCTTGGATCAGTAAGGCCGAACTATGTACGATCATCGTCAAAAACTGTACACGGTTTTGCATGCATTTCAATACTGACGCATATACCGCACTGTTGGCAGTCTAGATGTTTCTGTGTTTAGGATCAAGGGAGCCTTTGATCTTTTTGTACTTCATTTTGACATTGTCAAGTGTAGCTACGTACGAGCGATCTATTACTACCTACATCTCGTTTTAGACGCTGCAGTGCAATTTCTGCGGACACCATGTCCGCACTATTCACTCCTTGAAATTACCACAATTTGCATTTTGCCGATGTACTTGTTGTGAGACGCAATGTGTCTTTTGTAAAAGTCAGACTAACCAGGTTGACTATCGGTTTTCAATAAGTTAACGTAAAAGAAAAGTAAGATTTCAAAGTAAATTTACACAATGTAATTTTTAAGTTTAGCTTCAGCCCTTTGTAATGAGCTAAAGATTTGGGGATGTAAGACTGAGACTATTGTCTTTATGGCTCCGCTCTAATCGCTCAATACTTCGGTCTAGATTTGTTCGGTGTCAGTAACTAAGATCAGATTTCATTTCATTGGATGCATGATATTTTCTTCTTTACCATTTCATGCCTCGAAATTACCTTCCAATCGCAACTATCAATAAAATAAATCTAAGTCCAACTTAAGAAAAATAAAGGAAATCAAAAACACCAGGGTGGTACAGTTAAATGTCTGTACCTATACCCCATCACATGGTACCTAGCTCTCCATCCCCATGTGTCATCAAGTGTCAATATCACCTGAGACTCACCCAGTGTTGTATCCCAATATTCTGATGGAAAACACATCAGGGTAGAAAAACCATAAGAGGGTCTACGGCCTCTGTCGTATACAATCGTAATTCCAAATATCCAAATTAGATTATTTGTTTGTTTGTTTTCTGTAAATTCAGTATATCTATAATTAGATTATTTGATTATTATACAGATACAATTATCTACAATTGCGTTTCAACGTATACCAGGTTTCATAACCGTACAACCGTTTAAACGTTATTACGTTTATAATATACGTTAATATGTGCTTCTACTATAGGAACCCGCTGATTTTACACTTTCATACCTCTCTGTCATTTCTTACAGTAACGTGGTTTTAGTTTAGCGTGAAATCGGTCGATTCGTACCAGTGTATTTGGCTGATGTGTTTCTATTCCTCCAGTAGGTAAGACTGCTGAGTACGTCTGCTGTTGCCCATTAATAGTTTCCTGCTGGTGGCCGATAGTAGCTTCTGCCACACTTGTACCAATAGTATAGCGTAGAACTGCTTCAACAAGTATATTACCTTGCGCTGATCTCGTCTCGTTAGTAAAAATATGCTTCTTCCCAATACATCGTACAGGTATGATCGCTGTTTCAGGCATAGCGAAGTCCTCTTCAAACTGTTGCAGAACATAGGTATCCGCAAATTCGGCAGTACAAGGAATGAGTACGGGTTAGATCTCCGACTGTGCATACTGAGAGACTACAGGTCTCAGGTAAGATTTTACAGCAAGAAACCCTCTTTGATTTATGGAAGTCATCAGAGTTAGTTCACTCCCGAGAGCTAAGTCATCAGAGTTAGCTCACTCCCGAGAGCTAATCAAGTTGCTTAGATTACTCCCAAGAGTTGAGATAATACTTAACCGACTTCCGAGAGCAGATTAAGTTTCTCAACCGATTCCCGAGCGTGGATTAAGTCTGTCAACCGCAACATTCCAAAAATAGCTGCGTTCTATGTGAGTCACAACCTATGCGCAAATGTATTATGTGATCAGCGTGGGATTTAGTTACAGAGAAGTTATTTGGCTGATGTGTTTCTATTCCTCCAGTAGGTAAGACTGCTGAGTGCGTCTGCTGTTGCCCATTAATAGTTTCCTGCTGGTGGCCGATAGTAGCTTCTGCCACACTTGTACCAATAGTATAGCGTAGAACTGCTTCAACAAGTATATTACCTTGCGCTGATCCCGTCTCGTTAGTAAAAATATGCTTCTTCCCATTACATCGTACAGGTATGATCGCTGTTTCAGGCATATAGAAGTCCTCTTCAAGCGTTGCGATATTGTTCATTGCTTGAATCCAATTTGCTCCCCCGGCTGTATGGTTCTGGAAGCTAAAAATCTCTTTGCTAATTATGTCCAACACTGGTAGCACCGGTGCCAGGTTAATAAAACTCATACACTTGCCGTTTTCATCTCCGGTCAAGCCCGTTGTTTCGTCGTTAGATGGTTGTGTATCATAGTAGTTCAATAAATTCACAAAATTAAGGCTGTCGTATAAGCTCGGCATGTAATTATTTATGCTTTTGACTTTCGTGTTTGTCGCACATGAGCTTCTATTATTGATACTAGCGTTACCATATTGGCACACTCTTTGCACTTGAAATCGTGTCCCGTCTCACATTTTGTGCCACCCAATGCTCGATCTACACAGTGCAAATAGTCTCCGTCACATTCCATACAATTCTTTATACAGTGTAGAGTATACTTTTGCTTGACAACCGATTGTAATTTCTTCACCTCGTTCTCAAACTTCGCATATTCCTACAAAAAGTATCGAGAAAATCTGAGTTAGGCAAGAAAGCGGTAAAGTAGTACGAAAGCCTCACTTGCTGCTTGCAGGCTATGTATTTATATCGAGAGTGCTGTACAATGATTGTGTTCTTCCTATTTGTCTGTAAGAGCCAACTGACTGTGTAACCGCTGTCGATACAGATTATAGGGTGGCAGGATTGGGAACTGAGGCGACAGAAAGTCTCGAAGCCGTGTGCTCGGTTTGTGGTTGATAAGTGTAATCTTTACTGAAGTGTGCATCATATGCGTGACAGATTATGTGCCTGCTGTACTTCCTGAGTATACATGGTACATCCTTTAGGCCAGCTAGTAAATACACGTTCAGAATTTCAAATATCAAAGTTCCTGTTCATGCTAAATCCGTTTGAACGTGTTCCAGAATTATAAGTATAAACTATAAACTATAAACGTTACTACGTTTATAGTATACATTACGTGGTTCTACCATAAGGATCTCGCTGATTTCACACAGCCCCCCCTCTGCTTGAAAATTTTATGCTGGCTTATATGTAGTTTTAGCATGTAGACTCAAAAAGCTCACATGAATTGTACAAGCAAAAGAAAAGAAGCGGGTTTTGATCATATAATGACAATGCTTGTATTATATCTTCTTAGACAAAGTATACTTAGACTTTGCAAGCTACTCGGTTACTCTAATACGTTTGGGTTCAGGTCCTTGTGGTCCTCGATGGTGGATAGGACGTTTCTTAGTGCCTTTTGGAGGTACGTACATACCATGCTGTTTAAAGCTTGGTATAAATGATGTTTGGGGATAAACCTTGACTATATCAGGATGTTTGTTTGTGGGTAAGATAGCATATGCATCAGCCTTGTTTTTGTGTAGGCGTTTGCGAAACTTCTTATTGAAAGCTTTCAATACGTCTGGGTCGTCAAATGGTGATGGTGGAAGATCGTAATGTGCCACATCTGCAAACTCCATAGTGTAATATGTCATATTATCATGCTTGTACTTCCCGGGAATCTTCTTAAACTCGTAAGACATAAGAGGCGAAATAGCTTCACATGTGCGACGAAGGATGAACTCTGTTGTAGGGATACGATGTGACCCGATATTTAAGGCACTAGAGCCGTCTCCGCTCTTCTTATTGGCCACAGAGATCATAAATGGTCTAATGAATTTAGCCGTATGCACAGTCGAAACTCGACTATTTTCTTGGTATCATTCCATCGCTTCTGTCTCTCCTTGAGAGCGATGTTCGCATCTCCCTCAAGCAAGGGACAGATTACATTTCTGGTACGACACAACTTCTCTAACCAAGGTAACACATGACTATATCTTGAGACTCCTTGTCGGCCCTTGAAATAGTGAGTGGGTGTTGAACAAGTGACTGAATTTGGTGTCTCGTTTATTTGTGTCTGTACCCAATTAATTGATACACCACATGTCAGCTTTGTTTAATAGTGCTCCAAGCATGAACTCCTTCATCTTTCTATGTTGCACCTCATTCACACTTTGTGTCTAAGGCTTATAAGGTACACCCATCTTATGGCATGGTCACACAACGAGTAACAGTGTTGTCATGACATCAACTGTAAACTCAATACCATTGTCGGAACATACTATAGCTGGGCAGTCGAAATCTGCGAAACATTTATATATACACTCAGCCACAGTTTGTGTTGATTTGTCTTTCAGAGGATATACTACGTTATATCTTGAAGCAACATCAAACACGTGACAGACATACTTATCTTTCGCGTGTTCGGACATGAGTAGCTCAACCAAATCAAAGATAACCCGGCGCCACGGCTCATCATCAGATACGTTGCGTAAAAGTGCGTATCCGTAGCGCCTGATTCGATTAATTTCGCAGCCGTCGCATTCGTGATACACCTGAGGTATATATTGCTTAAGATTTATGTGTACAATTTCGTACTTTTTGCAATCTTTTTCAGTCATAACCTTGTGTATGTGTTTAAAAGCATGATTTTGTCATAACCACTTCAGAATAGCCTCCTCCGATGATTCTGTGACATCGAAATCTTTTGCATCGTCACTTGGACTAAATGAAGCATACCCGGAATATGTGTTATGCCAAATAAAAATGCGATACTACCTTGCCACCGACTGACTAATTGTAAGATAGGTTTTCATGTCCTGTAGGTATTGTAATGATTTCTGATCGCATAACACACTAAAATGCGTGTTATAGATAGTCCTCGAAACGAGTGAGTGCAGTTATGTTACAATAGCTAAAAGCACTTATTGCACTGTCAGGTAATCGATCTGACACGAGTTCACCGCCCTGCCAAATAAGTGTACATATCTTGGTTTCCCATCAATTATCTGATACAGAACGCCTCCGATTGCCATGTCGGATGCATCTGTTGCCACTATAAACGGTATTCCATACTGGTGCCTACTAAACCACTGTTTTGAGCTGCTTAAAAGCATCATCACATTCTTTGGTCCACAGAGCTCTGAATTGACCTTTGTGACATCGTAAATGTCCAAAAGGTTTGAGTTAACTTGCTAAGTGTGGATGTCAATGTAAACTTGAGATCAACCGCCATGCCTCGACACGTTATTTCTCTTTCGTCTTATAACTCCAACACGATGATAGATTCTAATTTTTGAGTTACATCCGGCACCTTACAGCGTGATGATATACAGAAAAATTGCGAGACCGGATCCAACAACGGTTTTTCTTCTTCATGTCCGTTAGCCCTTACATCCAGGATGACCCGCTTGTCTTGCGGTGCATCCTTTTGTCATAGTGACAAGACTAAGATTCTTACTTAACTTCAATCTTCGGTTGTACCTTACACGTATGCTTATGGTATTCTCCAATTCCTGCACAGTCAGAACACTTTCGTGACAAAATGTTTACACTTTTCTGCATGCCTACCGTTCCAACACCCATTCGGCTCGTGCTGGGTTATTCTCCAATTGCAATCAGCTCGCCACAGTTATTCGACTCCTTATATTTAACCTTAAGGGGTGCTGTCGGCTATTCAGCCTTGCCACAGGGTTGCCTTTGGTGTTGACATTGTTCTTGTGTTCATCAGACCCTTGTACATGCTTGTTCTTAGGTCCATCTTTGTCTCCACCTTTGCTCTCCTTGTAACCCCCAGTTGGTGACTGAGAGTCTCGACCATTATCTGATCCTCCCGTTTCTGAGATTTTACAAATCTAACCACAGAAATCGGACGCTTTGTGAAGGTCTGATCTGGTCTCGAATAGAATTGAGCCCAAGTCAGATTTGCGAGTTTCACGATACCGTAGGTAGGTTCTTCGATAGAAATATGAAACTTTTAGTAAAGTTAGGTATGCCTCGTGAAAACAGCAAATACTCTGAGGGATTGTGAAGCTGAGACATTGCCTATATATAATCCTCTCAGTACTGTTTCCGCCGAAGGAATTTTATTTAGTGTTTCGTTGTCGCTCTATTAGAAACTATGGTATGTTTCGTGGGGGCGAATACGAGAGACTCATAAAATCATATCTTTAGAAAAAGGAAAAGAAAAAAAAGAAAAAAAAGCTCTCGATGTCCTTAGTTATTGCATTAACCAATAGCTTGCCACTTATCAAGAATTACCGACTTAGCCTTCATCAGACTGGTACATCTGGTTGGCTGAACGGAGGATAAACTGAGCAACACTAATAGTCCTTAGAAGCATATGTTCGGTTGAGCCATCTCACTACCGAAGTATTCAGATATAAATAGATTTGGAGAGTAAATATAGTTCTATTAATAGACCTAGACCAAATATTATGTTTGGTATTTTACTGGGGCCTTTTAATGGCATTGTCCAAATATCTGATATGTAAAATGGAAATGGTATTAATTAATAAAACTGTTAAAGACCATTTAGGAAACTTAAGTTCCTCGTATTATCAAGAGTACGTTTATAACTTACGCACTGCTTAAGAGTACGTTTATAACATAGATTCTAATGTAGAGGCTCGGCTACTACACACACTTTTTCGAGTGAATTGCTATCTTTTGAGGGTGAGTATGGTTGAGTGTGTACCACGGGTCGTGTCTCAACCAACATAAGCTTGTACCCAAAGGCGACCCTGTTTGGTTGAAAGAAAACGGTGTGCAATGTGAGAGTTTTGCAAGTATATATCTGTCTAATTATGAGAAGCACATTTGTCCTAAGTATTTGAAGCCCTAAGTATCTGAAGCGATGTGGTAAACAGTGGATATCATTGACAGATGATACCATGTCAATAACAGTAAACGAGTGGAATTCATAGGTTGTAGCCAATAATTTGATCAAGCTTAAGAATGCAGAGGAACTGATGCTAGAAAACCTATTTGGTCACGATGAGATACAAGATGAATATACACTCCTGCCAAGGCACTCGCGAAGACATAAACGCAACGATCCATTGAAGTGTACAAAGCACAAATACTCTAGGCATCAGCTGTACAAGCAGCCTATCATAGATTAGAAGCGAAATAAAAAAATTGAAAAGGAACGGCAAGCCAATACTGCAGCGTTGAATAACGGCAATCAGTTTATATATACTAGACATGCAATCAACCTAAAAACATATCAATCTCTTTACAAGGAAGAAAAGGATGTGGAGCACGTTTGCACGAAAGTATATGAGACAGCATTCGTTGTCGAAGAGTCGCTGAGTAAATGAGTTGCTGAATTACAAGAACAAGCTTTCAGTTTGAAAAACAAGATGGATGATAAGTGCATTCCAGAATTCACGTACACATATGTTACTAGTTCACAAACAAACACACATGTGTGGATGGGATTCCATACAATAGTAAGTTCACAATTTCGTACATACTGTGTATGTTGTACGCCTACAGTTTCACCGCGGAAGTAGGACGCTATCATACTACGATGCAGTTTTTCTATTTTTCGTCACAGTGGAAAAAAAAATAGATGAGGAAACCATTTTTTTTTTGATACTTGTGCACAAATATTCGTCTAGATAAAGTCATATGGTCAGCTGCGGACCCCACATTATCATATTCATGACGGACACAATCATTTGCTTTGTGTGTCCACAAAGTCTACTGCGCCATCGTTCACACCATAGCGACAACGAATACACACTTCCCCTCCACACCCAGCCCACATTCGCAATATCTATTTACTATTCCGTAACCAGTGCTGACTTTCTTTTTGTTTAAAATCGTGTAAGTCTACATCGTGTATAGATGCAGCCACAGAACGTGACACTCTAGTGTGAATAACTCGATGTGTATATCAATCCACATAAAAAAGACAGACCTTTCGCCTCCACAAAGTATATGTAAACCGTTATGATATCATATAAACTGCAATTTCAAAACAAAATTATTCAATATCTTCGGTGTTTTGTAAAGAAAATAAGTGCCACTTATTGCAAGCCATAGGTATAAATGTCGCTCTGTACTGTTCAGCAATAGTTAAAACTCCTTATGTTCCTACCAACTAACAACCACCATTGCCATATTCACGCAGACGCATGCAAATAAATGCACACAATACGGCCGATTTGTGCACGCACACCCACAATGTTGACAATCTCAGTATATATAATTATAAATAATTGATTTCGATTTTTCGAGTTCGGGCCAAAGTGGAAAGGCTATGATTTGGCCGCCGAAAAATTATGGGGGTTTCTTGTTGTTGTCAGGCCTCTCGTGTGGGTGGGACTTGCAAGTTGGAACTTGGGAAGTTGGATGCAGTCATGATGCATAAAATAAATATGCAGCCGGCACGGGCAGGCAGCAGTCCAGGTTTCCAACTAATAGTAAATATTCTTTGGAAACAAAACCAAAAAAAATAGTTGACATTTTCGCCGTACCGAACTTCTAATAAAGTGAATTATTTGTCCACTATTATTTTTTCTCCACGTGAAAGCTTTGGCGTAGTGGTTGACCTCCTATACCGCACAAGATATACAGAATACGCAAGTAGCACATACTTCTTTTTAGCGTCTTAGGATAGAATAGATAGCCATCATGACTAACAGCTGGATCTTCAAGTGTCAAGATGACAACGGTATGCAAGGAAGTGTATTTAATCTGTATCAGTAAAAAGGTATACACCTTCGGCTGTACAAGGATCTCAAGTAGCCGACTCTGCTGTGTTTCTGGAGGTTCGATTGAGGTTGGATGAAGTTGGATCCGTTGTCAACCACTATCGAGAGCACATATACAGTCTACCCTTTAGTACAGTTTTTATTTGAGGCTACCGCTGTTTAAGTTTATTTCTCTCCACAACTATTTAGGCAAGTGGACTGCCACGTGCACCACTGACGATTCCCTTACCGTAGAAGGATCTGACAGTAAGAACGGAATTGAGCACAATATCTCCAAGGTAGGTTGTTAAGCTTGGTATAGTCCTTATTCAAATTGAGCATATATTTTTGTTGTATATATGTGACGTTCAATATATATTGACTAAGTAGATTCATTAGTAGGCAAACCGCGATTTGTGCATGCAAGGCTGATATACGAGTGTGTAACCTCGAATAGGTGGACTATTTTGAAAGTCAGTGTAGATTATGCAGTCAAGGTAGATTATTATCGTTCATATCCATTAGTTGATATACGAGTGTGTGTAACCTCGAATAAGTGGACTATTTTGAAAGTCAGTGTAGATTATACAGTCAAGGTAGATTATTATCGTTCATATTCATTAGTATCACAAGATCCATTATGGAAAATACTAAGTCACGGCGTCGAAGTGGGCTAGATGGATGAGAAACGGGCTGCATGCTATTTGAATTTTGTGTGTCAGTTATCTTAAAATATCCGATGTGAACTGCTTGGGTTCTACGACACGACTTTGTCAATAAGTAACGGCAATAGCGTACGTGGATAAGATTTGCAACCTGCAAACATGGTTTAGCGGAAGAGTCTCTTCTGTTCAGTTGTGAATTACTCTCGGTAGCGAAATAGGTGAATACGAATTGAAGCTTGTCGAATGAGTTCGATTATAAGCAACATGGAGGTGGGCGGAGTTTATATTTACACATGGATAAGCAACTGACCAGATCAACCGTGGTGAATCTTTGGATACAACGGCAGTCTAGACCATAGATGATGCAATCTCAGTGAGGATCAGCAATTTTCGATACATATTCAGCTTAAGTTATCAATCTATATATATATATATATATATGTATATATATGTATATAAATATATATATGTATATATGTATATATATATGTATGTACGTATATATGTGTATATATATGTATGTACGTATATATATGTATATGTATATGTATATGTATATGTATATATGTATATTTATATTAATATATATTCAGATTTAACACGTACTATGGAACAAAAAGTTGTCGTTACAACATACACAACCTTCAAATATGTTAAGTATAGTGCGGCACAGTCATATAGAGCATTGCGGCGGGCAAGTGGGAGGAGCGACGATTACGGGAGGATTTGACTATTTGGCCCTTTCTGCGAGTTGAGTATTATTTACTATTGAGAGTACGATAGTGACGAGTAAGACGGTTTGGGAGTAGAATACTTGCTGTGAAAATTAGGAGAGACGAGTAGGACGGGTAATAAGTGAATGATATAACCCGATTTTGATGCTGGATCGTGCACTAATAGCGTTAAAAGCGCTGGGACCATTGTCACCTACTCCACATCACCTGTGCCGGCGTCGACTTCACTAGATCTCGGTCCATCTACAAACAACTAAGTCAGCCACACATCCGATACCTCATCCCTCGTCATGCAGGTTGTGGAGTCTGCTGCCGGCCCCGGACCCCTAAAGCTTGTACACCCATACATCACTGGTACCAAGACTCTGTGTGTGTTCTCTCGCCCTATTGGAGGACCCGCTGGTTCCGCTGCCCCTGCTGCCGGTGGTGCTGCTGCTGCCCCTGCTGCTGCTGCCGCGGCTGCGCCCGAGCCTGAGGAGGAGTCCGAGGAGGAGGATATGGGATTCGGTATGTAATAATTTGGGGAGATAGGTGCGGGTGTAATTTTATATTATATTGTCGAGGTGTTTATGTACATTCGTTGTTTGGTATATTTGATGTTTGAAATGTATGGGCGGGTTTATGTCAAGGGCGTTGAATATAGTTGCTAGTAGATGTGTAGATTTTCGGCACGCACTTATTAAATTTCGGTAGTTTGTATATTTGCGGTGAGCGTGATGTAAATTCAGCTGTTCATTTTGTCAAATATGTATGTATATTGATACGCGCAGTTGTTGTTTACATATATATTGATGAGTGTTACAAATTTACAATGTCGTAGCGAGTTGAGTTGTTTACATAATTCGAAAGGGATCTATTCAATTTTTTTTTCTTTATGTTCGGCTGAAAGTTTTTATGAATGAATTCATACATACAAGGAAACCCTAAACCCTGTTTTCTGGAGATAAATTGTTGTCTGATCTGATGTGCGATATTACTGAAATTAAATCGTGTATATATCACTTAGGACTCGTTGGAAATCGTTGAAACCGTTGTGTAAGATTTTGTAATGAAGTAGCTGTGTGTGTAGGCATCAATTCGGTTGAGGGTTGTCTGTGTTGTTCATTTCATTTCGTATGATGTTTACCTGTCTCCTAAGCCTACTGCTAGTAGCTTGATTCTCAAAATACTATTGTCTTTTTTTTTGGCACAGGTCTTTTCGATTAAATTCCTAGTCAGGTCATTATAAATTCTAATAAAGATGTATTCTATGGACGTTACTAAGTACTGGACTTCGGACGTGGTTTACGGTTTGCTCATGATGAACAGTATACCCAGAGTGAGTCAAAGGATATTTTTTGTGCACAGCCCCAAAGGGGCTGAATACCTAAATTTTATATAAAAGGCAGCCCAAAGGATTCGAATATCTGGATTTTCATTTATAAGGCAGCCCAAAGGATTCGAATATCTGGATTTTCATTTATAAGGCAGCCTAAAGGATTTGAATACCTGGATTTTCATATATAAGGCCGTCGTTGTGTGTCCGGGTCAACGACATGGTAGACTATAATATGCGATGGGGATTGATAGTTTTTTATAGATGCACATGCTCTGCATTCATAACTTACACATTGACGTCGAGAATGTTCAACTTGGAAGTTAGATATGACAGCTCTGCACGCATCGATTGCGGGCTTTTGTTTTTCCTTTAAGCCGTGGCGGTTATGACCTTAATCGGGATACATGTGATGTGCAGGCATTTGTTTGTTTCGATCGAATGATTGCAAACTCGAGCGCTCAATCGTTGAGGAAATAGTTTTGATGATGTTCTGTGGTGATCCAACGACTGGCATCATACTTCATAGATCTCTTCACACCCAAATCAGAGTGTATATATATATATATACGTATATATAATATCGACGCCCATGGTACGGAGGGTTTGTCGGAATTACATTTTGGGCGGCAAAGAAGTAAAGTAGCTGAGAACTTTGGGTATATAGTTGTCTCTAATTGCATGTGGTATAGAGTTTCCGCTGATCAGATTGTCACAGATTATCGTGCCGTTGTGCACTTAGGAAAGGACGGGTCATAGAAAGCGCAAAAATGTCGACAACTTGCTTTAACTCACACTGGGAGTAAATTATACATGCCGGCATATAAGACCTATCGATTAAAAAGTTGACTTGCTCGTTATCCGATGGTGTGTAGTATACATGTCCGGTGTGTGTCTACTGTCTCCTGCGCTCACATACCCAGACGAATAATTTTGTCAGCCTTGAAGTCATCCTAGTACTCCGCGTGAAGACCTTATCCTATACGTATATGTACATGTAAATGTATGTACTTATCAATATTGCACATACATACTGATCACTGATGTATAAATCTGTATATATGTGTTTTTGAGGTGAAATGGCTGCATTTTATTGTGGAAGAACATGAATGGCTCAGCGGACCGCAGCACTTAAGAGTAACATCACGGATTGCAGCTGACGATTACGAAAGGTTTCCATAAACGAACTTTAAGCCGTTTACATCCGGCTATACAAATGTCGATATCACGTATATATGCTCATGATTGTGCGTGTGCCTATCACGCTTCAAAAATCTCATTGCAAGCATTTATTTGTGTATGTTTAATACACACGCATACCCTTTATTTTGTATGTTTTGAATACATAATTGTGTATATTTGATCTAAGTAGGCAATGTGTGTTGTTCGAAATAATCTGTTTCATTTGTTTGTGCGGATGACGTATTGCCGAGCATATATTCTAATGTAGTTACTACACATAATCTAAAAAACATCATAAAATCATGTGCTGGATACTCAAAAGTTAAAAAAGGTACCAGTGCAATATATACCTAGAAAACAAGATACAACGTCCATGTCTACCAAACATGTATTGTACGGTATGAACGATGGAAAATATACAAAATATAATTTATGACATTGCCCTTTCAATGCATGACTGAAATAGAATCATAAACACGAAACATAATTGTGCACGAACCCTAATACACATGTATATATTTATACATATATATACACACACATTCATATTTATATATAAATATATTTGCACACACGCACACATTCTTATACATATTTATATACACACACACATAGACTCGCCTTATATATATATATATATATATATTTATATACATACATATATACACACATATATATATATATACATGCATACATAGATACACACACACACGCATATATACACACATATATATACAATAGTATAA